GTGTTCATGTCCATCTAGGTTGTGAACAACTATTCTTGCTCGCAAGTGACTGATAGAGTGATCTTCGGTTCGCCCGATGACGACCCACCCTATCTAAGTGCAGAACAACAGAACGTAGAACTTGTTTAATCTAACATGATTCTCATTCATAAAGGGTAAATGTGTAATAACATGCAAAGCCAAGCTTTCAGTATATAACACTAACAAGTATATACAGTGTCTTTTGTTCGAAGAGAATATACAGCAGGTTCGAAACGAAGAGAATATACAGCATGTGCGTTTCACCCAAAAAAAGGCAAAAATATACATACAATATACGTATTAACTACAAACAATATACATGTTTTTTAAAAAAAAAGTAAAGAGAATTATACCTGATTTGATGTCGCGATTCTGATCGTGTATATCAGGTATATGTTAGGTTGGTGCTTACATCATGCTCGAAGAGATATGTTGTTATCGTGTATGAGTTATGTTGTTATCGTGTATGTGCTATATTTTAGGAGAGATAGTACGTTTCAAATTCAAAATATGTTTTATATCCACTTACCTATTTTTCTCAAATGACTTGTGTGAGATATTCGTTGCTTGAGAGAGAGGGCGTGATTTTAGGTAACTGACTCCCTTTATTAGCGGCATTCATCCTAAAATAATGATACTGACCCCAATTAAGTATTATTGCTAATAAGTTTGTCTACATCGTAAAATTGCAATATCTTATGTATCTTGTGGTAAGAGCAAAATTCCGCCGTTTTTATATTGAAACCAGGGTGTCCAAGAGCCGAACGGAGAAAATTTACCGCTAAGATTAATTATATTTAAGGATAAAAAAAAAAAATTTATTTGGATCAACAGGGTAGATTCAATTAGATTCATGCACGTGTTTATTGGACCAATTTTAGATCATTTGTAAAATCGTCCAAAAAATATGACACAACTTTTATTCAATCTGATGACCAAGTTATGAGTTAATTTGACCAGATCAAATCGATTATTGAAACAAAATATGAATTATTCCAATAAATATAATACAATTAAAATAATTAAAATGGTTTTATCACTATGGTAAAATGGTATTATCATTATCGAGGTGGAAAAACCTAAATTAATAGTCTACCTCTTTAAATAAATCTCTACTTAAATAAAAAAAAAAAGTTTTCTTAGGCAACCAATAGCAATGGAAGATTAAGAATAAACCAAAGTAGCATAAATAGAAAATACATAATAATTCTCCACTTAAAAAAAAAAAATAGTTTCTTAGGCAACCAATAACAATGAAAGATTTAAGAATAAAACAATGTAGCATAAACAAAAAATACATATTTCTATTATAAAATGATGTACTTTAATTTATATAGTATTTTAAAGTATGAAACATTTGTGTGTGAAAGTATGTATATATGTATTGAAAGAGTATGGTTGCAAGGAACCTAAAATTTACATTTTTTACTATATAATTTTTTTACAATACATATTTCACGAAAATAAATATGAATTGGGTAATTTTACAAAAGTAATCTGTAAATAAAGTTATTTATTAATTAGTTGTTTATTTCTTGTTCTCTTATATTAAAGTTTTCTTAATAAAATGTCTTATTTATCTTTTGTATCTTTAAATAAATCTATCATGACTTTGCATGCTACTATAATAATTGTTATGTTAGAGAATTATTGGCAATGAAATTCGTGTCAACAAGAAATTCAACTAAGAAATGGGATTATAAAAAATTCTATGATCCAACATATTGAGAAATATTATTGTTCTCTTATCCACGTCGAGTACAATTTAATATTGCACTTAATAATATTATAGAAGATCAACTTACATTGTATGAAAATTATGTGACCGAAAAATCATGAGATATTGGCATATATAAGATATAATGTTTCTGCAATGAGTAAATGAATATTTTGGTATTGATAATAATACATTTCAAGTAGTTAGTAATAATACTGAAACTTATAAAATATTAAAGATATCCTCGAAGATTTCATTTTGAATTATTTATAAAGATTCGAATTTATATATAATGTCAATTGTTTTTTTTGTCTAATTTGTGCCATTTTTTTTTTATCGGCTTTTATACTACCACAAAAATTTAGCTCCAAGTCCATTCCGTTTATTGGATCCGCTCATGTATGATTGTCTAAGCCTCTAACCTTTAGTCCATTCCATTTATTGGATCCGCTCATGTATGATTGTCTAAGCCTCTAACCTTTAGTCCATTCTGTTTATTGGATCCACTCATGTATGATTGTCTAAGCCTCTAACCTTTAGTCCGCCTAATAAAGAATGAACATAATTAGTTGTAAGGGTAATGAAAAAAAAATAAATCAAATAATTTCATATTTAAAATCATAATAATATATATGGTATTAAGAATAATATGATTTATTAGTTAAAATATATAATTATACACACGTTGGAAAATTAATTACTTAATGTGGTTAATTAATTGGCTTGCATACAAATTAATCTATAAAGTAAGTTAGTTGTGAAATTATTATATATAATTGGATTAAATTAATAATTATCAATCCTAATTAATAAAGCAATAGGAACAGGCATATATATATATATTAATTGCCGTGCATACTAAGTAATATATATGTTAGTTATTAAATTAATATTTATCAATCCAAATTAATATAGGAACAGGAAACCAGGCATATATATTACAACTCTTTCCTACTCTGCATAGGCATAATTATTTCTGCTGCATACAAACAATATATGCAAATAATATATATTATGCATATAGGAAATAGGAATAGGCATAATTTCTCGCTCGCTCTCCGTATACAAATATATATACCCACACCCTTGCGAGACGAGTATCATATCACACATATTCTAAAGTAGTACATAATTTGCCAATATACAGAAACATGGAAATGGGTAGTATTCTGAAGGCCAAGTCTGGTGTCTTGTTGGTTTTGTGTCTGTTGCTGATTCCTCATGTCCTGTGTTCAAACTTGAAGGAGGAGAGTCGGACAACATACATCGTGAGGGTCCAACCAGGAATGAAGCCATCGGGTTTTGCAGGCGCACGAGACTGGAACAGAGCCAGCCTCAAAGGAAATTACAAGCATGACGAGGAGAGGTTTGTTCACGTTTATGACAAAGCGTTCCATGGCTTCTCAGCTAGATTGACGAGGCAAGAAGCCGCGCAGCTTTCAGGCCAGCCGGGGATCATATCCATTGTGCCCGACCGCCTTCACCAACTCCACACCACTCGCTCTCCTACTTTCCTCGGCATTCAGTCGAAGTCCTCTGCCAGTGACAATAACGGGCAGCTGTCGGAGTCCGAGTTGGGGTCGAACGTGATCATCGGCATATTCGACAGCGGCATCTGGCCCGAACACCGAAGCTTCCACGACCAAGGTCTCGACCCCATCTCTCCCGACATCTGGAGAGGGGAGTGTGAGGAAGGCGAGAACTTCACGAGAGCCAACTGCAACAACAAAATCATTGGGGCCAGGTTCTTCTCCAAGGGTTATGAAGCAAATGAAAACGGCCAACTCGAGGAATTCAAGTCCCCACGAGACTCCATTGGACACGGCACCCACACCGCATCCATTGCCGCCGGCAGAGCCGTCCCCAACGCCACCTTTTTCGGCCACGCCACCGGCGTTGCTTCCGGGGTCGCCCCGAGAGCACGCATCGCCGTCTACAAAGTCTGCTGGAAAAATGGGTGCATGGCTTCCGACATCCTTGCCGCCTTCGACAAGGCCATCTCAGACGGAGTCCACATAATCTCCTTATCTCTCGACTCCGGGCAGGTGCCGTTCGAGATCGACCCAACTTCTATCGGGGCCTTTGGAGCCATGCAGCGAGGCATATTCGTGTCTGCCTCTGCAGGGAATGATGGCCCGGGCGAGAGGACTGTCTCCAACATCGCCCCGTGGCTCACGACCGTCGGCGCCAGCTCAATCGACAGGCGGTTCCCAGCAGATGTCGTGCTCGGGGATGGGCAGGTCATCGGTGGCGTGTCGCTCTACGGCGGTGGCCCACTCCTCCCCAACGACACCTTTCTCCCCCTCACATACACTAACAGCTGCAACGACGGGTTCAGTGGCGACGAGGTACGTGGCAAGATTGTCGTCTGCCCTCGTGGGCCCGGACAACTGGGAGAGCCCGTGGCTGAGGCCGGGGGCGCTGCTGTGGTCGTCATCGGCGGCTCCATCTTCCAGGCCGAACCTCATGTGCTTCCGGGCCTCACCATAGAAGAGTCCGTGGGGGACGCAATCCTCCGCTACATCAACTCTTCGGGCGCCAATGCCACCGCCACCATCATCTTCCACCCCACGGATCTCGGCTTCCATCCGGCTCCCGCCCTTGCTTCCTTCTCTTCCAGAGGCCCGTCCTTCGAGACACGCTACTATCTCAAGCCCGAGCTGATTGCCCCGGGAGTCAACATCCTCGCCGCCTGGCCCGACGGCCTGTCCCCGACCGGCCTTTCCTCAGACACACGCCGCACAGAGTTCAACATCCTCTCCGGCACTTCCATGGCCTGCCCACACGTCTCGGGCATCGCCGCCCTGCTCAAGGGGGCCCACCCTGACTGGTCCCCTGCCATGATCCGCTCTGCCATGATGACAACCGCCTACACCCGAGACAGCCAGGGATGGCCCATATTGGACGATGGGGCAGAGGCATCCGTGTGGGCCAGGGGAGCTGGCCACGTGGACCCGCAGAAGGCCATCGACCCAGGACTGGTGTACGATGTGACCGCTGAGGACTATGTGAGATTGCAGTGCCTCCGCCTTGCCCCCCCAGAGGATGACGATTACGGCGCCATCTCCAACAGTGACGGTGACGGCCACCCTCTCTACATTGGCTGCAGCGGCTCCCAACCAGCTTTCGACAATGCCGCCGATCTAAATCTTCCAGCCGTCGCCACTGTTCTCCAATCGGATATCAGTCCCGTCACCATTAGTAGGACCGTCACCCATGTCGCCGAGGGCCCCGCCACTTACAATGTTGCTGTCGCTAATCCCTCCAATGGCCTCATGCATGTGAGCGTCAATCCCAGCACCATGGTGTTCAAGACCAAGGGCGAAAAGCAGAGCTACTCAGTCACCATACATCCCATTGCCGTCTCTCAAGCATTCGCCAACATTGTCTGGTCAGACGGCCTACACGACGTCGTCTCCCCCGTCGTCATCTCCTGGAATTAAATATCATTAGTACTCTATCATTACTGTTACCATTCTGTTCTTCTCATCTTTTTTCAGTGTACATTTGTTTGCTTTTTATTACTTGTAAGTAACTCAGTTTTATCATCATGACATGAATGCTCTTCTTCTCATTTTTTCCATCCTATTATAGTGTGTACTTTTGTTTGCTTTTTATTACTTCTGACTGAGTTTTATCATGATGACTGATCTTTCAACTGTAGTAAACTTTCTACTAAATTTCCAGACTCAATTTCAAATATCTAACACAGATATGATGATCCCTAGATCCCACAACAGCTTCAATCTAATTGATATTTGATTCATTCCAATCTCCAATTAACCCTTCCTACAGAACCAAAAATCCTTATGCTCCAAATAACAAAAATTAGGGATAATCATTACTATTACTAAGAATTGAACAAAATGCAATTAACCAAACCAGAATGAGTAGAAAGAAACTCCTCACCATCTCTTGCTGAGAATAACCCTAAATCTCCCCATCATCCACGAGGGCAGCTCCTCATTTGGGCCTCAACCGGTTACCGGGATGTTGGGCTAGAGGGACCACTTTCCCGGCGCCGTCATCGATCATCTGCTCCTCCTCATCGTCGGGCGGAGGCGCCGGTTTGTGGAGGCGCAGCTGTCGGGCCAAAGGCCATGAGCCTTCTGGAAGGCTCAATACGTTAGGGTGCGCCAGGATACATGATAACGACTCCGGCGATGCTAGGGATTAGAGATCGGAGGTGAAAAAAATGGCGTCGCCGATGAAAGAGAAGATGGGTGTTATTTGGTTTTTACTTGTAACTGAGTTTTATATTCAACTTGTGATAGATAAATGCTCTTTAATTCAACTAGTAACCGTAAATACTGATGCTGCTTCAATTCAATTTATATTTATATTTAATGCTCCTTTTGAAATAATAACTTCATCAAATATTATTTCAAAAATTAATTACACAAAATATTAAAATATTAGTACTGTTTAAAATAATGTATTTTTCAATCAGATTAGTCAATCAATCACTTAGTTTATGAATAATAATCTCTCTACTCGACATATAAATATCAATATTACCATTTCATTAATAATAAAATTTTGCTAATTCTAAATTTTATAAACGAATAATCTTTAAACAAGTTCAATAGAAGTTTTTACTTAGAAAAATGGCGCAGCCAATGGAGAGAAGAGGGGTGTTATTACATGTTTCTAAAATACTTAAATAACTTTGACTTTTTAATTATAGTTTGTCTTTCTATTAATGATTTTTTTGTTAAAAATATTGGACAAGGTAACCATCTAACTACATATGAATACCCGATTTCAGTTAAAATTGGACAAGATTTTTCATCAATAATTCATATCAGATTTGGTGTGCAACGACCTCGATCTGGCTTGAACGACCCAGATCTGCTTTCTAACATGTTCGTAGACCTGCAAATCGGTCAGGAGGGGTTCCCGGCGTTAGTACTCCGATGATTAAGTTAATTCGCAGTGATGAAGACGATGAACAGTAGATAAAAAGCTCTTTAAGTATTTAGAATATTTAAAGAATGTAGAGTTTGAATTGCCATACCTCACCCATTTATATAGGGGCGATATCTTGTGCCCAAGCATGCCCGAATGGGCTGCCCAAACTGTCCTTTCGTACTGCTCGAACTACCTATTTCTGTTAGGCTACGTGTCTCCATCCACGTGTGGTTCTTATCTTCATAATATTCTTTCTTATCCATTAGTCTGCCCTATTAGACGGTCTAATCATACGACCAATTCGGCTTCTATCAAGCTAGATTATCTTCAGCTTACGCCTTCAATCTTGTCTGTCTCTCACAACCTAATCCAATGGCATCGATCGACCAACCCTTCGCCTTCTAAATTTACCATCTTAGTAACAACTCCGACGCGACTCGGGGATATGGTTTCAGTGGCTCGTCAGCCTAGCTTCTTCGTCCATGTTAGTGAGGATTGAATGATGCATTTCCTTATTAACAAAAACCTACCCGAAGACTGGAATTATGTTTCTCCACGAACACTTGATACCAATGACCAACCACGTGACGGGTGCTATATTTTCTTCTATGACCACATTGCACTCGATCTCAGGTTTCCTCTATGTCATGCATTGTTGAACTCTGCGATGTGTACCATCTGCCCATCAATCAACTTTTTCCTAACTCCATTAGACACTAGTGTGTTTTGTCATTCTTTTCTATTGTAGCTTAGGCCACATCGACCTAGATTTCTCCTAATTAACCGAGGCCTAGTTGTCGCACTAATACATTGGCTGCAGCGGCTCACAAACATCTAATCAGGCAATTGTTGTTATTCATGACAAAATCAAGTATTTTATTATCTAAAAGTGGAAAGCCAAAATAACAAGCATAAAGTCACATATTTAATATTATTTATCCAATTATCTAAAAGTGGAAAGTCCAAATAACAAGTACGTGGACAAGTGTATCATATAGTCACAACGTGGTAGCAATCAACTAGACAAAATCAAGAAATTGAATACATTCAACCAACCTAGTAAAATACAAAACGAAATAAAACGATACTCCACCATTAAATTATTGTGTCCATTGGAAAAAATTTCCCCCCTTGATTCATTCCCCATCTCTCAAACTCCTATATTTAAGTATATATCTTTATGTGTTTAGTTTCTTTACTTTTCTCTTTCAATCCCTTTTCCTCTCTCTCATTCTTCGTGGTTTTTCTCTGTTTTTCACATTGCCTAAGGCTCCTCCCTCATCGTTTGAAAAAATGGTAAGCCTTGCTCTCGATCTCTTACTTTTTTCGTATCATGTTCGATATTTGACGATGTATGTGTAAGAAAAATTGCGGTGAATGTTATATAGAGATATCTATCGTAAAAAATGTGTGAATTGAAATTACACGACCTGGGATATATCTATCTTCATGTTATCATTAACAATTTATTAGTTTTAAATCCTTTAAATGTATGAAATGTTGCAGGCGAACGCGACATCTGGCATGTCGGTGCACGATGACTGCAAGCTGAGGTTCTTGGAGCTGAAGGCAAAGAGGAACTACAGATTCATAATTTTCAAGATCGAGGAGAAAATCCATCAGGTCGTGATCGAGAAGCTCGGCCAGCCTGGCGAAAGCTATGATGACTTTGCCGCCAGCCTTCCCGAAAATGAGTGCCGATATGCTGTCTTTGACTTTGACTTCACGACCGACGAGAACTGCCAGAAGAGCAAGATCTTCTTCATTGCATGGTATTTAATTAATTGTGTCTAAACATAGGGCATTTTAATTCATTTTTGAATAGTTATTAACTTCAAATGTTTAATATAATACATGGAACATTTCATGCTAACTGCAAAAAAGGCTATCGCGTAGTTAAATTAATTAGTACTTGAAATATGCAGAATTTATGACTATATGCACTTGTATATTGATACAGGTCACCTGATTCATCAAGAATAAGGAGTAAGATGGTGTATGCAAGTTCCAAGGATAGGTTTAAGAGGGAACTCGACGGTATTCAAGTCGAACTACAAGCAACAGATCCAAGTGAGATGAGCATCGATATAATCAAGTCTCGTGCGCTTTAAGACTTGTACCTTGTGTGCTTTCAAATCACCATGTCATGTAATATCTTGGAGAGTTTTCTATTTATCTCTACTTTTTCTCTTTTTCCCTTTTTCCAATTCTTCAATATATAATCAGACCTGAAATTAATGGAAGGATTAATGTAAGATTGAAGTTGTTGTAATAGTCTGAGTTGTTGTCATTTAAATGCATCATTTACTGATGTCATTTAAATGCAACGTTGTTGGTATTTAAATCTTTGTCATTTAAATGCAACATATACTGATACCCATAGCATATTTAGTAAAATAATGTTTTAGTTTAAATGGGTTGATATTTAGGAAAATAATGATGCTTAAATGACGTGGATGAATGAGAAGGTAATTGGCGTTCAAATGAATTTGTATGAATGCAAATGCCCCTAACATCTATAGTAAAAGATACGTTTTGACAAGAGCTTTTGGTACTACAACTGTAGCCTTTCCACTCATTGTATTCCATATTTCGATGATCTTTCCAAGATCAAATTTTGGTTTTCGAGCACTTTTGCCTTTAGTTTTCGAAAGCTACACCAAAATTACATGGAGAAAGTTTTCGACAAAGACCTTTAAGACATTACAAACGTGGTAGTTGCATAAGCATTTTTTCGAAAGCTACACCAAAATTACATGGAGAAAGTTTTCGACAAAGACCTTTAAGACATTACAAACGTGGTAGTTGCATAAGCATTTTTTTGCTGCTTTTGTTGAAGAGATATATGCAGCATATTAATCACCACATACTCGGAGCTTTTGCTTTCATCCGTTACATTTCTACTCATCATATGTTCAACTATCTAAGTTTTTAAACAAACTGATATTTTATAATACATGATATAACTAAATTTAAGTATATAAGAAGTGAGACTATCGTTTTGAAACANAAACACTATGAAAAAATCTCTGCAGACGCCTCTCATTCACCAATATCTTCACATACAACCAACCTTCCACAGCAACAAACTTCTTGAAAATGGCAATATTCCACTGTCTGGTCACTAATAAACTGCCCAAAACTCCCCAAAATGCGATAACAAAACCGAGTAACGAACTACACCAAAACTCTCTAGTGAAAAACATGTCATCTTCACACTCTTGACCGTTATCCGTGCCATTACTCGACTTCTCATCTTCAAGACAGGGCAAGTTGCCGGCCTTCGGGCAAGTACATATACATGGGTAGACAGGCCAATTATCTACTGGGTGCATTAGAGTTGCGTGGCCATATTATTATTCATTGTCCCGATTACATTGTCCTGAAAGATATATAAATGGGAATCCAAAGTCGTTGAACCGATTGAGAGCAGATCCAAAGTCGTTCAAGCCAATTAAATTGTTTGCACTACCAATTTGTAAATAAATTAGCCATATATAAGCATTTAATTTTTAAATTAATTTTCAAGTGCCCGGTTGAATCACTCGATGACCCGGAAGCTAGATTAAGGGCCTGCCTTGGTTTATCCTAACAGGCCTGAGTTTGGATCCGAACGAGACCTGCTACAATTTGGGACTTCTTACACTACCGCCAACTGCCAATCACAAAAGTTCTCTGCAACTCACCTTCTTAAATTTCATTTTTTCCTCGATCGAAATCCTCAAGAAGAATAATATCATCCCTAAGTCTTCATCTGTAGACGTTTCTTCTTTTTTCACACTTGCCGTATATGAATACATCATTTAGTATGAATATGTTTTATGTAGATGATTTATCATTGTGATTTTCCCTTGCTCGATAGGGTTCTTGTTCCTTGTTATCGAATTAGGAAATCCTGTTCAAATGGGCTGCACCGTTAGAGACAAACATATCCGCACAAATCGGAGAACTCGGTCGGTGAAACCCGAATCCGATCATCCCACTTCCGCAAACACGAAAGGCAATGTCGACAAACCGGCGAACGCCAAAACCGGCATACAACCTAAGAGTTACCAAATGGGCCTCCACGCCCTGTCCCAGTGCCCGATGTCCGGCCCGAGTTCCGCATTCGACGATAACGGGTGGGGTTACTGCACTGAGGAGCAACTGGAGGATATTCTGCTCAAGAATTTGGAGTATTTGTATAACGACGCCGTTAACAAGCTGGTGGGTTTGGGCTATAATGAGGAGGTGGCTTTGAGGGCGATTTTGAGGAACGGCCACTGTTATGGTGGGATGGACGTCCTCACAAACATCTTGCACAACTCACTGGCCTATCTCAACAGTGGAAGCACCGCTGGTTCCGACTACGAGCCCGATCCTGAGCCCGAGCCCGAGCCCTCGTTTGCAGACCTGAGGCAGCTGGAGGAGTACTCACTTGCGGGCATGGTTTCTTTACTGCAGCAGGTCAAACCCCACCTGAGCAAAGGGGACGCCATGTGGTGCTTGCTGATGAGCGACCTCCATGTCGGCCGTGCCTGCGTGATGGAAATTCCGTTCTTGCCCTCACCCTCGACAGGCAGTGTTGGGCCCAACAGAAGGCCATGCAGGCCGCTCGGAAGCTGAGCCACGACTTTACCGAGCTCAAGATGCTGAGGATGGAGAGGGACGAGACTCGGGGGCTGAAGAAAGGGAGGCAGACACTGAAGGAAGTTACCATGAAAAGGCTGACTGACATGGAGTGTGCCCTCAGGATGGCCAGCGGACAGGTGGACCGTGCGAATGCGGCCACCAGGAAGCTTGAGACTGAGAATGCAGAGATTAGGGCAGAGATGGAGGCTTCCAAATTGAGTGCATCCGAGTCAGTCACGACATGTTTGGAGGTGGTGAAGAGGGAGAAGAAATGCCTCAAGAAGCTGCTTGCGTGGGAAAAGCGGAAAGCCAAGGTTCAGGAGGAGATTGCGGCCGAGAAGCGGAGGATTATGGAGCTGGAGCTCGAGCTGGCTCAAGTGGAGGTGGACACCAAGGCAGCCGAGGTAATATTGCTTTTCATAGTGCCATTATATGCAGATTCTAATTTTGTTCTGTTTAATTTAGTGGTTTGGATATTTTAGAACTGTTGGGAAATTGTGTGGAGGGTGCTTATAGAGAGAATAATGGTGGAACGTCTATGCACGAACATATGGTGTCAAAATATGAGCTACTGATATATGATATGTGGCCCAGATAAGGTTTAGGAATATGTTTTAGATGTTGCCTGCATCCCTAAACATTCTAGGGCGTGTTTCCAAAATCCATTATTTCTTCTTTACGAGTTGTACTGACTTTTATCATACTTGTTCACTGAGGTTGGTATGCAATATTTTAGGAAAATACTTGCTTTACTCTATCTGATATATACATTTGGGGACTTCATAAAGTCTGCACATTAATCTCACTAGTTTTTTTTCTGGTAAAGTGTGTGCTAGCCCTGTTTGTATGCATATGTTTTATTCATTGTTTCCATTCTCTGCTTGAAGTGATGAGAACATATTGTGACCCTGTTCGTCATTACCAATTTGTTATTTTTTGTACCCTGTAGTGCCTGTCTGTCATTATTCTTGCAAAAGAATTTAATTAATACTTTTATCCTTTAAGTCAAATTTTCTGCTTTGAGTGGTTTGTCAAGCAGTTTCCCTTACTAGTGGCAATATATTTATTGCCTTGCCTGTTGATCGTGGCAGTACATGTGGACTTTTACAACTCAGCATATTTATCGCCACTGCATAATTGATATGCTATATGATCACAAAAAAGAAATGCATCCATGTATTTTGTAGAAAATCTTTGTTTCATGGAAATTTTCTTATGTAGAGCAAACTTTTTACTACTTGGTAAATAACTAGAAATTAGTTGTGTTCAGTTGGACTTACAAATTGTTTCCTTGTCTTTTTCTCTTTTAGAAGTTAACTTTTAGCTTATTTATTTCGCTTGATTAATATTCTCTTTCTTGTAACAGTTTTACCTCAACTTGGTCATATTATCTTCAGTATATTTCTTTTGAGCAATCGCCTGTTAATCAGAGGGTATTTATCAAGCATTAATTAAGAGAGCTTACAACAGCTTTGGCAACGATAATTTAAGTTGTTAATTTAACCTTTTAGGCTCATAGGGTTAGGATACCATTAGGGTTTAAATACTATCTAAGTCGTTAGAGTCGTTACTATTGTTTGTGGAGGACACTTTAAATTAATTGCCATTCACAGCTATATGCTGGGCAGGAGATTTCTCTAGGAAAACCTTACTTTCTTTAAGGTAGATTCTGCAGACAGGATTTATAAAGATGGCATTTTTTATTTCTTCTGCGATTACAGTTTCTTATTTTCCTATCAACAAAACTCGCAACGCCATCGGTATTTGTTATTAAAATGACTGCCGAGCTTTTTGAATCCCAATTCTTCCGCACATACAATGAACTTTCTGAAGTTTGTAGTTAATTCTGTGTGTTTATGAACTTCTGCCTGTGAAAGGCCAAGTGGAGACAGGAACAAAAAGCTAAAGAATTAGCACTCGAGCAAGTAGAAGAAGAAAAGCACCTCAAAGAAGCCTCCGAGTCCAACAACAAGAAAAAGCTCGAGGCCCTCCGCCTCAAAATCGAGATCGACTTCCAAAGACACAAGGATGATCTCCAACGACTCAAACAAGAATACTCCCGTCTCAAGGAATCTTCCAAATCCGAGAATGAGAATCAATGTAACGAATCTTGGACAGAGAATGTGAAACCCCCTAAAGGCGGTGAAACAATAGCAAGGCTTCTGCATGAGCTCGACCAGACACAAGAAGAAAAGTCAACTGGCTGTGATCGCGAGTGCATGATCTGCATGAAAGACGAGGTCTCTGTTGTCTTTCTTCCTTGTCTTCATCATGTTATATGTGCCAGCTGTAATGAAGGCTACGGGAAGAGGCGGAATAAAGCTGTTTGTCTGTACTGCCGTGTCCCAATCGAGCAGAGGATTCGGGTTTATGGGGCCAGCTCGTGAGCCATGAAGTGGTTTTGCCTTTTGCTCTGAATTTTGTGTATAAATAAATATGTACGGGCAAAACCTGTTTGCAGGTTGTGCGTTTGCTCTGCATAATATTTACTCACTTGCCCCATATACTTTGTGTTAGGATGTTTTTATTTTGAGTATCGGTTTTGTTTGTTTGTTTCTTCGTTTGTTGTTGATATATCATGGAACTAGGATAGGATTGTTATTCAAAAGAAGAAGTGTTATTTATGAACACAACTCAACTAGGTTTATAAAATCTTGAGTGTACTCATTCGTTTATTTAATGAGCTAATGAGCCGAGCTAGAAAAGCTAATTGAGATCGCTTATTCAGGATTTGGATTTGGATTTTAGGGTTTATAAGTCAAGTTGAGTTGAACTTATGTAAGGCCCGAACTCGAGCCCACTTTTTTGGGTTGTTTATCAAATGAGATCGCTTATGTTTGCAAATCCTCCACCAGCAGATTTGGTCCTCCAGCCGAGTCACCAGCACGATCTAACTCTCGCTCAGCAGCATCTCAAAAGAATACACGAAATCTTTAAAATTTACTTGAAAATTATTTATTAATCCTATTTTTTTTAAAAAAAATTATATTTAATTTTTATAATAAATATATTTATATTTATAAAAATATTTATGTAATAAATTTTCTTATAAGCGACGATAATAACGGTGAGATTCAAATTTTACTCATAACTAATTTATATTTTGTTAATATACTTGTAAATCATTTATTTATTGATAAATATTAATAAAAAAAAATTCAAAATCGGGTCGGCTCAGTTAATCAAAACAAATAAAATTATAACAATTTAATA